GAACAGAAGAGAGTTTCAAAGATGTAAAAGTGACAGACACAAAAGTGGAAAAAATGTGAGGTGAGTACTGTGACAGACACAAAGGTAGAACAAAGGTGAGGTGAGTACTGTGTTACACGAAGGTAGAGAAAAAGGTAAGATGAGTACTGTGGAGGCTTAGAAAAGGTAGGAAAAAGGTGAGGTGAGTACTGTGGAAGATACAAATGTAGAAAAAAGGTGAGGTGAGTACTATGGAAGTATACAGACTCAGAGGTAGAAAAAAGGTGAGGTGAGTACTGTGGAAGTAGACTAATATGCCATACAGTGGGTCATGGTAGCTAGAGTCAACTGAAGGTAGAAAAAAGGCGAGGTGAGTACTGTGGAAGTGGTGAAATATAACATACAATGGGGTGAGGGTAGTTTGAAGTCAGAGGTCAACTGCCAGTTAATAGACTGTGGGTCATGATAGTTTGAACTCAGAAGTCAACTGCCAGTTAATAGACTTACTCATGGTAGTTTGAAGTCAACTGCCAGGTAATAGACTTTAGTTTGAAGTGAGAAGTCAACTGCCGATTGATAGACTTTTATTTGAAGTCAGAAGTCAACTGCCAGTTAATAGACCTTTTCAGTCAGAAGTCAACTGCCGGTTTATAGACTTTTTTGCCGTTTGAGTAGTCAGAAGTCAACTGCCGGTTAATAGACTTTTTTGTGAAGTGAGAAGTCAACTGCCAGTTAATAGACCTTTTTGCGTATGAGTATACGTTGCCCAGGGTGCACCACGTGGAGGTAATTCTATGGCACACGAATCTTTATTTCAATGTTATGGCCAAATGATTTGAAATTCCGATTAATGCGTGAGACCATTTTCACTAGCCACTAATGTCTACTTCTAAATGTATCTTCAGGAGCAATAGACAGGAAGTCATTTAAAGACTAAATTCTTAAGAGAATTTCGTGCAATTTGATTTGACAGGTATTTTCTTCGATAAGTACTTAACGTTTCTTTACACTTCATTGTCCACTTTTTGCTTTTGAAATCTCAATATCCCTTTGGCAACATGAGTGATACGAATGCGTTCCAGAGCATTAAGATGGAGGAACATTCTTAATGCTCATTTCGAACTTAGGAACTGCAGTCTACGAGTTCTTTGATGATTAACTCACATTCCTACGCTCCTCGTCGAAATTTTAGCAATTAACGCTACCCTTTATGTCATCCTGTATGCATAAATAGATTTCAATCTCATATCCTCAGTCTTCATCGATTTTTACGCTATTGAATAGTCATACCTATGCTAGTGTCATAATTTACTCAATTTACCGCCACAATTGAATTATCTTTGCTATCCTGGGTTATAACCACCTACTTTCTCTCTACTGAGTTTATACAAGGCCAACTTTTCAGATACGCAGTTTCCACAGATTACTTGATGTTCAGTGTTTAGTGTTTGATGTTAGTGTAACGGAGTTTTAACGCCCTTATTGAAAAAGACCGATTCCCTTTTATTCGTTCATAATTTCCCTGGTGTAATAAATTCACTCAACACATTTTGATATGCATTGAACAAAAGATTATTTTTTCCCAGAAGAATAAGTACGCTTAAAAACACATATAAACAGACAAATTGTGATTGCGTCGTTTTGGGGAACTGTCAAATACCAAGTGTTAAGTGTGTGTATTTGGGGGGTGGGGGTGGAGGTGGGAGAGGGGGAGGGGGAGGGGGGTGTGTACAAAGTAGATAGTGGTTGTTATGATTAAAAAAGAGAGAGAGAATGGAAAGAGAGGTATATGGAGCGATGGAAGGAGAACAAACCAGCGGTTTTCCGTGCAGTAGTATTGGCTGAAAATGAGAAAGAGTTTCGAGTGGGAGGTAAGTAGGAGGAGGATAGACCCACTTATCCGCTGATTGGCTAGAGTGTTGGTGTTTTTCACTAGTTGATGGCTCAAGAAGCTTTTTGTACAATTTAATCAACGCCACCTAGACTTGAATGATTACTTGCTTGGTGAGAATGGCTATTGCAGTAAGATTAGGCTTTCGTGGGGCCCTTCTTAAGAGTGCCGTGCTCAGTTTTACTTTGTGAAGCAAATTCTTCATAGGGTGGGGGAGGCGATGTTTGACAGGCGTAAACAATCGCATGATGCACAGAGGGTCCACAAATTGGAATAAGATTAGTTGGTGGAACTGAGGGCATAATCAATGGGGGACGAATTGTTGAATCGTAGAAAAGAGGCTTCTCAATGCGGAAGCCCTCTTTTGCCAGTGGTCTCGGGGGCTTTTCTTGCTCACATGTTGATTTATGCCTTGTTAACGTCATACTACCCGTGGGACAGATTAGAAGGGATTCAGGCGCATTGCCGCCACTCCAATAAATAGGACTTGGTCGAAGGGACTGAATATTTGGTCTCTGAAGTTCCTCGAAGCCGGATTTCTTGTGTCGCCAAACTTTTCGCTTCCGAATAAAGATTAGTAAGAATGTGAGAAAGAGAAGGCAGAACAGAACGATAATTAAGGAGACTATGGCAAATCTTATGACGACAGAGGTATGTGGCCAGACATTATCAGGTTCACAACTGTTTTCCTCATTACAACCTGTTTGGGGAGTTGCGATAATAGTACCGGATGAAGAGGGTGGAGGTGTAGACGTAGTATTCAGAGAAATACTACAATCACGTCCTGTCCACCCTGGTTTGCAAAGGCATTCATAAGTCCCTGGTCTATCCCGGCAAGCTGCTCCGTTCTTGCAAACTGGCTTGAGGCACTCATTAACATTTTCTAGACATGTTAGCCCAGTCCAGCCAGGAAGACATCGACATTTAACCTGATTAGCTCCGTAGACACATTGTCCACCATTCGCGCACGGATGATGCTGACAAGCAGCGTCACTCAGCTCGCAATGTCGTCCACGATGTCCTGGTAAACAAATGCACTGATAACCCTCATGTTCACCCGCCATTTCAACACACTTTCCCCCTAAAAGAAGCAAGAAATAGAACTTTATAAAACAGAACAGAATGCAATTGAGCATAGGTCACCCAAATGCGTTTGGAAATATAGAAGTGCAAATTCACCATAAGTTAAGTTTAGCAAAGGATATTTTTACGAAAACAATATTAGTGTAGGATATAGCATTGATCAGTCCTTTTTCTTGTACTGAGACAGACTCAATTAGGTAAAATTGACTGGCAGTAAGGGCAGCCAGTGAAAGCCTCGTGGTCCGAGTAATTCTTAAGATGCTGACAAGGCTACATGAAGGGCTCCAGAAAGGGTTCCTCACACTTCGCCTGAACTGGAGATATGACATCATGACTAATTAACAATGACCCTGTAAATATGGCATTTAGTAGTACATCTGGTTATTGATTCAAATTAAATTAATATAGCAGTAAATTTACCTGAAAAGGTAATTTATAATTAAAATGAGCGGAAGATTGAAATTGGCTGAATTACTTAGAAACACACGCTTGGACAATTGTCTATTTGTGATTTATAACTACAAAATCTACTGGCTCTAAAAGAACTTCAAAAGGCAAGGCTCTATGGACACAGTTGTTAAATGAAATTGCTCAAAATGAAAAGCCACTCCCAGAATATTGAGGGAACTGGTTTTACAATTTACCGAGAAAGATCTCAAAACTACTTCAATTCTCTTCTCTAAATGGACTATCGTAGTACTTACGATATGATTTGTGCCTTTTCCACGACGCTTCATAAATAATAGACCATCGTATTAAGAATTTGGTATAAAATTAGATTGCCGACAATTTGAGACATTTTTCTGAGGTTTGATATGGGAACGAATCCCACTGCTGTCACACACGTGATATATTATTGCCTACTCTAGTTTGGAATTCACATTTTAACTATCACATTGAACAGAAACCTCATATAGGCAACTAAGTTTTGCCTAAGGTACCATTTCACGCTTAGACGGAGACAAAGAACCGAAGACTACTACGGAAAAGCCAAGACATCTCTTATTCGCCAACCTGTGCCCATCATTCATGGCATGAGAACAACCCTATTTGTGCTTTAGCAGGATGTTTTACTTTGTTCAGAGGTTTCCCCTCCCCTCCTTTGCCAGACGACGAACTTCTGTGGAGAATTGGCCTCTGTGGTGCTTAGTGACTTTATTGAAGCAGACTTCTCCACTGAGTGCAAACGTCATGACAGATGTTGAAGCAGATACAATTAACTGTGTCGAAAACTCATAAATCAGGTTATTCCATCACGTTTTATGCCAGATTTTTGGGAGCATCTGCTGTACGAAAGCGATCAGATTAGGTCGTTTTTCCTCAAATCATGGCCTCATTGTCTCCATTACAATTCTCCAATTTATTGTGGATTGTCTTCACATTTTTAAGGGAGCATTGAGTAGTGACCGAAATCGCCTTACCTTGATGGTCAGCATCAATTATTTAAATTTACATAATTGAATACATGTTCGTTACTTGATAGGATGACTATTACAAAAAAACGTCCTATCCAATGAATTACCAAATCTCAAACTTGGAATTTTTGGTGGGCCTTATGTTAAACTTTATCATAACTTCAAGATAGGTAACATATATGCTCGATTTGCAACGCACCATGGAGACAGGGTCTCCCATCACATTTGCGAATTGTGTTTTCGCAGTTCATTCCGGTAAGTCCTTGTTGGCATTCGCATTGGAAATTAATGGCCAAATTCGATTTTGGATTCTCGCTTAAGGGTTTACAGACGGAGTTTTCCCCTTGACAGGGATTTTGCCAGCAGGATGTCTGATTAAATTGACAATTTGATCCGTAAAAAGTGTCAGAGCAGGCACAACTTCCATCAGCCTTTAAAGTGAAGTAAATAAGCGGGGTTTATTAATTCCATCTACTGAAACAGATTTAAGTACAATATTTAACTAACTTGACAAATTCCGTGACCACTGCATCCATAAACTCGGCAATTATGATTCGAGATTTCACAGTGATAACCTTCATAGCCAAGCGGGCACTGACAGGTATAGCCCGGAGTCGTCTCCGTTGCAGTATTGTGACAAACACCACCATTTAAGCATGTATTAGGGTGATTTGAGCAATATTGAGTATCTAAAAAATGATGAAATATGTTTACATCAAGAACAAAAGGTCACTGGGTACAAATTTATTTAATTCTGATTTCCAACTATGTACACGCATATGACAGATTTTGATGCCAATTTTGTCAATTGAAAGGCGGTGAAAATTTGAGGTTTGAAGGTTTTGACTTTGATAGCTATATTTTCATATGTCTGCACCTGCCGATTTGACTTTGATAGTCATCGGCATATGCGAATTATTAGAAATTAACCCACCCATCGCAGTAAGATGTGCTGTTCCTTCCTAATGTAAACATTCCTTTTCTCCCCTTTCGTAGAAGTTTCCACATCAACAGATCTGCCTCTCCGTGGATCTATTTTAGACCATCTTCATCCTTGTACTTAGCCCAAATTAGATGATGACCACCAAACCACAAATGCAATTACAATGAATCCATTCAATCAGCGAGTGTAAATGAATTATTAATCATCTTGTCTAACAGGTGATTACTATTAGAGAATATTAATAATAACAAGATGCATATCACTTGTTTGAGTATCAATCAGCTAATTCTGGAGCATTCTTGTACAATTTATGCAAGTGTATAGATAAAAGAGGCGACCTTACCGATTGTGCAAAGCATTCCACTCCATCCAGTTTGACATTCACAGGTGAGAGGTTCTTGGTGACCCAGGCTATAATTGAATTTACAGGTACCATGCTTGCACCCTGGAAAGGGTATACATTCTTCGCACGTTTCCCCTGTCCAACCTACTTCGCATCTAATAACATTATAAATAAAAGCAAATTTTCACTTGAGGTTTCAGGCGATTTGTGCATATAATAAAATAATCTCTTAAATTCAATTCATTTTAATGACAGAGAGTGACAACATACTTGCAAACGTCAGGTGACTCACAGGTGCCGTGAATGCAGCCTTTTTTGCAGATTGCTGAAAAGGGAAGAAAAAAGGGGAGGTTGATTAGGGGGGGGAGGGGGCAAATGGAATTGAATTCCGGTCAAGCCACATTCGGCAGACTGTGTGGAGAATAGGTCTCCTCTCAAAATGCGGTGTATGAAAAAAAAAAGAATTAAGAAATTTAGACTCTCAAGTGAAGACTTGATGACAAATGTGACAGGTTTGCTTCTAAGCCCCTAGATACGTGACTCATGAATACAAATTCTTGTATAAGCCTTCATTGCTGAAGTAGGATAATTTGGAAATATATACCACCGTATTGGAATTTTATTTTGAAGATAGTCTATGTTGAAATTAAAAGAAAAGCTGGAAACAAGAGAACTGTGGCAAGTGCGACAAAAAAACTTAGTGACAGGCAGACAATAGTAGGAAAAGTCATTTAATCAGCAAATGTGCCTAAAGTTTCCCTTCTCGAATCCATCAATTAGCATCACTCCTGCATGAAACAAATTTTCAAGGACTAAACACCTGCTGAAAGAGAGAGAGAGAGAGTAAAGTTGCCTAAAGCTGGCCATCTAGATATTTTTTGAAAAAAAAGAACATCCAGATGGTAATTATTTCTGTAACCTCTCCTAGAAGGAGCTCTGATGCTACGCGCTGCGTGATCAACAGCCACGAATTGATATTGAAGTGTATTGATGTATAAACGACCCAGGAACAACAGAAAAGCAAGTGAGTGTAATTCAGCCTATTTCATACCATCAATGAAATTCACATAAATCAAAGCAAAAATCAGTCATCCTGGAGAGAAGGACCAAGTAAATTCAATGATTATATCGAGGAACTGAGGCCTCCACTTTTTTCTCCTCCCAAACAGATGGAACTCTAATATATACTGACACTCAAGTCTCAAGCGATCTTGAAATAGTACGGGATTTGACCTTTTCTGTGGCTACTTCGAACAATCGAGTTAAGAATTAATATGTAAGAATCGTACCTTCAGTACACTGGCTTCCTTCCCAACCAGGTAGGCAAACAATACGTCCATCTTTGGTGTCGCATTTATAATGTCCCAGAGGGGAATCTCTGGGCGCACAGTAGTAGTCACAGTCCTCACCATAGTAATCAGGCGGACAAGCAATCCGATAGGAGAGTGTTAACCGAATAGAAGGCGTTGTATCGGCACTGCTCTTCAAATTTTGAGTTGTCCAGACTTTTTGTTTAGTGCCTTTTACTTTGAGTGGTTTTAATCGCGCAAGAAGTATAGTGTCTATAGGTGAAAGATTAAGGCGATATTTTTTTTGTAAATTAAAGTCACTTACCTTCTATTGGAGTCTGGTGGAAGAGGGATATATGCAGATAGAGTGGATTCTGAAATTAAAAAAAATAGTAATCAATTCCTTCTAGAAAATTCAGTAGATGGCGTCATAATACGGGGTCTGACAAGATTGAACTATAATCTTCCTTCAACAAAAAGTGGTCGGGCCAATTAATTTCAAGTGGGGTGGGGGGTGGGGGGTGGCGGGAAAATCGGAATAAGTATCAATTGAAGTGGATGATTGAAGATTTGAAATATGACCACAAGGAGGCGAAATTTGATCTGCTAACTTGACACAACGGACTCTTGTGTTTGCCCTAGTGTGCATTTCAAAGGCATATTCACTTGACTTTGAACGATATCTACCTGTCTGTGTGTGCGTGTGTGGTTTTGTTGCAAATTTTCATTTCAACTTTTGTCCGACGATCCAAAACGCATCCATTTATTTAAGCGCAATGGCTGATGGACAAAGGCAAGTGTTAACCAATACGCCAAAAGTGGTGCCGATAAAACTCAATTGCTTTGATTTTAAAACTTTTCCCAACACATTACTAGCCATCAGCTCAAGACAATAACGTTTTTTTAGTGAGACAAACAAAGCCCATGGTAAATGCATCGAAGTTCTTCCGAATTAAAATAAGCGAGTAATTAAATTATGTCTGATTTTTAAAAGGACATTTCCTTTAACGAAACTTCTTTAATTAAATTCTTTGTCCATATTTAGAAACTCCCATTGTTTTGAGAGCAGAAAAAAGTTAGCTGAGTAATCTTAAGAAAAAAATAGGCTTAAAAATGATGGCTAAATTTTGTCTGAATAATAAAAGAATATTTAATCAAACAACTAGCAACGATAGGATAATTCACTTTTATTTTAATAATTTTAGTCCTGGGAATTTTAGTTGAACAACGTTATTACCAGGTGAAACATTGTATCCCACGGAAACGGGAGGATCTACTAAAAAGACCTTGACGAAAATGCATTGAAGCTCACAATCTGATAGTTTTTCAAGTTATGATTTAAAAAACAGAAGTGAAATAGGGATAGGATTTGATGGTTTGCATAAATAGCTGGATAAATAAAATAGCAAGCATGGTTATTTTTTCAATTTTGAAATGGTATTTCAACCATTAAATCGTGCACATTTTTCGTGTTTTTTTTATCAATTTGTGTCAATCAATAAAGTTAATTGAATTTTTCTCCTAGTCATCAGCCAACTAACCTTTACTTTCTCGAGAAGAGAAATATGAAAGTCGCGAGCGGAGTTGAAAAGTTTGCCATTGGAGAAAATGACATCGGTTAGGAAGACATTAGGTGTCGCCGAGACGTTTGTAGAATTGTCTGTAAAGATATCTGCTGTCGGTAGTAGCTGGGCTCCAAGAAGGATTCTACACCGATTTAAACAGCCATATGGTGGTATCCAAGCTTTAGGAAGACAGCAGGAGGTAAAATTTACTGAACCCTGTGTTGTCAACTTCATGTCGGCAATGTGGAATTCAAAGATCTCATGGATCTTTGGAGACTGGAAATAGGGGGAAAGGAAGAAATATTTTAAGTAACATAATAAATATGTCGGGAGAAAAGTAATTGAAAAAAAAACTGAAAATAAAATTGCCTACGTTTGTAAAATGTAGGTTACTTCCTTTAACTTGTATTATTTTAAAAGGGGGTGTGCGATAGACTTACCTCCACGTGGTGCACCCTGGGCAACGTATACTCATAAGGCGAAAAGGTCTATTAACTAGCAGTTGACTTCTGACTTCAAACTACCACGACCCCCCTGGTTGTCATATTCGACCCCTTTCACAGTACTCACCTTACCTTTTTCTCTACTTTTGTGTCTGTCTGCCTCTTTTACATCTGTGAATCGCTCTTCCGTTCCCCGCCCCTCGACTTTCTACTACTTTGATGAACCTTCCCTCTGTGAAGCCCGAAGTCAGCTAAGTGGCTAATGATATCTATCAAAACGCCTGCCAATTGAAATAAATAAATAAATATTTTAAAAGCACTGTTACGAGATAACATTTTTTGAACAGACAGATCGTCATTGTTATTTTTTTGAAAATTATAAGATCTAAAGAATTCATAAACGTGGATACAAGCTATTCACTATGACTTGCCAGGAAAAAATTTGAGTGACAGGTTAGCGTTGACTGATTTTAACATTAGGTTGTCGAAAATTTCAATCCCCCCCCCCCCCAACGGGAGGTGAAATATGAACCAAGTAATGGCGTGTAATGGGCTCGTGTTTGTTCTATAATAAGATTTGTACAAATAATCTAATTGATATTTTGGTAAACTGAATTAAGTCGATAAATGACATACTGAATGCTAGGCAAAGGCCATATTTCACATATTTCTTCATTAAAGGTGATTTAAATGACAAATTATAGTTTTAAAGTAGTTCTAAGTTACTTTGGCGTTGAAAGAGTTAACGTTATAATTTGGCATAAAGTCATTAGGTCTCAATTATGGTACATAACAATTACAAATCACTTTCGGCGTGCAGAAATAGTGTTGTACTGAAAATATATCCAAATATAAAATAAAAGCAATCATTACAGATCTTAAACAGTGCCAAAGCATATTTAAGAGAGTATTTTTCAACAATCATTTTGTGTTTAGTGGGAAACACGAATTTCTCCTTCTTTGATACAAGCCTTAAATTTCACTTATTCTGCTGGGAGCGACATTACTATTTTACTTATCCGTTACTACAAAGTCGAACTTTCAACATTACGAAAACCGTCTACAGAAAGTCCAGTCAATGCGGTGACATTTACACGTAGACTTTCAAAGTAATTTAAGGTGGGAATAGGCACATTCATAAAGGGAGCCAAGCACACCCGCAGGTGGAAAGTGCCGTTTACCCGATTACGTGGGCAGAATTTGCGGGAAAGGGGCTCTCGGATGACAGTTAGCTAAAGCACCCCTCCCTCCCCCCTCCCCCACCTCCGAACAGCTTGAAGTTGTGCGCATGTCAGTTTCTTTTTGATACAAGTTGTCCCAGACAAACAACTTCAGAGCATGAGTGGAATTGTCAATCTATGCGGGCAGGCAAATATGAAAATTAGCACCAATAGGCACCATCATATGTGATGTCATACTCCTTCATGTCGCAGATTGATATTGGTACTTTCCTCTCCATTCTGTAACGCTAGACGCGCGTGTGTATGTGCGGTCTATTGTTTAAACTCAGTCACCGCAACTTTTGACCGCACTGAAACTATTTATCGACCCCCAACCACCCCCCACCCCCCGTCCTGAAATAAATTCCCATTATTAACCACAAAGAACAAAGATTTACCGGCGTGATACTGCCAATAAATGGAGGGAAAAAGATGACTTGTTGAAATGTCTTTTAAGGCTGTTCCGTATCTTCCAAGTACTTTGGTAATAACCCACTTGCTTAATCAAGAATAAATCGATCAGGACTAAGTAAAAGACGGACCTATTTCCGCTCGGATCAAAACACTCCTTCTTTGCCTAGTTCAGCACAAGTGTTGTGCGGATAGTCGCCGAAAGTGCGTAATATGGACGAATAGGGATAGCTGAACTTCGCAACATTTCGGCAGGTTTCAGCATTTGAATGGAAGATGCAAATATAAGGATTTCTGCCGATGAACTCACATTTATCTTAGATACAGTTTAGGAAAATCAGAATTATTTATTATTAATATTATAGCTAAAAAGGCTTTTTATTTCCAGCTCAGACTCGCTTTATGTATAATTCCTTCGATGGTTAGCTGACCAAACGTATGCTTAATAATGCATACGGAGGAATAGAGAAAAATTTTTTTGCCTTCATTATCTCGAAAAGATCTGAGAAATCGGATAACAATTAAATTCAAAATATAAAACTCCCTTTCTATATCGGACGAGATGTGTTCGTTCAAAATGCTCTTTCCTCGCATGCATACAGGAAGTACTAAGTATGTTCTTTGTGTATTTTATGGAAAAGTAAATTCCTTCAACAACTCTACTTCAAAGTCTATTACGGTAAATCAAGGAGCATTAAAATAATCGAAAATCGATAATTGCTTTAAGGGATGCTCCTTAACAGTATAGCGGCTCAAATGTGAATGAAATTTAATAATTTTTGCTAACCATTAAGAAAAATATTCTTACTTTAATTATTACTTGATATGAGAATACAATTTTAGGTGTATTTTTACTCTCCGAAAACGGAAATGGTAAATATGCATATTTATGAAGAGATCGTTAGTTCTCACGAAGGCATAGTCTATGGCATGGGAAGAGGGTAAATGCCTCATTCAGACATTCCTCACGTATCATTTTTTATACTGCCACGATTTATGGAGAGCTCGATGAAAATGGTGGAATAGATGCCAAACTCCACTTTACCAGAGTGGTTAAGAATATCAATTCTTGGATGTATCAATAGAATTTAATTCCTTTCCAAGTCCTACTATCTGAAAAGCGATCTAACTACCTATCCTGATATGAAAGTACTTTAATAGTACACAAAATTGACAAAATATGCCTAATGACAAACGAATAATGGGATATTGTTTCATCACGAGCCTCATTCCCAGGAAGAAATACAAAATTATGACACGTGCTAGATTTTGATAAATAATGGTAATGTTTCAATCTTCCTTAAAATTTAAAAATAAACACATAAAAATGATAGCACCAGAAGATGTGGTTATTTTTTTTCTACTTAACATTCTGCATATTAAATAATTGCCTAATTTTAATAGAATATTCCCAGCTGAATTCGAAAAATAGAATTCATTTTTTAATTGTTACAAAGGCGATTGATTAAAACAATAGGTTACATTAATGAAAGTTCCTTCTCCATTATTTAACAAAATATAATCACCTGCTTATTGTTTGACAAGACCCATTTTATGCCGTAGAAAAATGAACAGCTTTGTAATTGAAAGGAAGACCTCAATTTCTTTGAAACTGGGGCTCGATTACACGATTAGCCTATTAGACAACATTTTTTACTAATATTTTCACCAGAAACGTGACCTCCAACGTTTGTTATCATGAATTAAATGAACTAACCCAATCATCCATCGCAATGGGACAGCTTTAATTGATAGTCCGTGGGAAGGGGAGGGGAGGGGTAACAAGTCACTACAGACATTTTGTCCCTTTTTGCTATTTTAACACATATTGTAGATATTAAAATGCTGGTTGATGACAAACTGTATGACCAATTACAATTTGAAACTGAGATAAAGCAAGACATTCATTAATCGCCTTGGTATTATCCGCTTAATGAACTTACAAAAGTACTTTCATTTTACTTAATTCATAATTTTCTCTTTAAATTGAAAAAAAATGGAATTTAGCCATTTTTTGCGTTTTTAAAAAGGGCAGAACTCCTCAAATAAGTTGTTAAAGCTCCCGTGTGGTAAATGTTTAAATCATTTCTAGAGTAACGGAAATATTTCCCCCTTCAAGTTTAAACTGATGACTGAATCCATCATTTTAAATGTGACCCGATGCATAATCACCGAGCGTTTCTCCTGCAACCGCATTGAAAGGACTTGAGCCAAGGTGTCCAATGGTACGATTGTGTGTGAGTTCAGCATTTGCGCGGTTTCTAAGAGACTTAACTTGTCAGATTATTGTAATCATTTCCCCATGACAAACAGATCTTTTGATACATGATAGCAACACTGACCAATTGTAAACAAAGAAAATCGGTTATTACATGTTGTGTTTATAATTAGGACAATATTATCCCGTGCCAAAAAAATTGAGCGTAACATTTCTTTCACCAACACTCTATCGCTAGAATAAAGCGACCAAATTGAATTTGCCAACACCTTTATTCCAGTGGGCTATACAGCATCAAAGTCACACCTGCCATTTTGTTTTAATGGTCAAGTTATCAAATAAATGGTCTGAGCTCTAAAATGTTGATAGCAATCTGAACGGTGGGTAACGAACCGAATACAGCACCCATAACCTCACTATAACGGTTCATGTTTCGGCCAAATGATATTTAAATAAGTACTTTCCATTTCAGTACCCCTGGTTTAGCACATAAGCGGACAATAGTTGTAGGCATTGGGGGGGGGGGTGGCAG